CTTGAAGAACAGTCCCCCCGGCTGGTCCCGCTATCCTGAGGTTAACATCAGGGGTCGGATATTCAAGTGAAAAGAGGAGCAAGGGGAAAGAAAACTTACGAAGTCAACAAACCCCTATTCCGGCCGTATTGGGGGATGCCCTGGCACCGGATACATGAAGTCAAGGATGGCGCCAACGGAGTCCTTTGTAGGCTCCATCGCCTCCTTGATGCGCTACGCCACTTCGGACAGAGGGAGCGCTTCATCGGCAAGCGCCGTCCCTTCGAACGATGCTCTAGGCACCATCTAATACAGGGGAAGCGCGCGCGCCATCAGCTGCGCAACCCTCCTCACATGGTAGGTGCTGATAATCCCGGATCCCTTCATGCCCCTGTCCTTCAGAGTTCAAAGGGCAGCAAGAAGGCCATTGAGGTGCTTCTTTTCCTTGCCCGTGACACCCCACCCCCATGACCCTGGGGTCTCCACGATGTAGCGCCCGATGAAAACTGGCAAGGGGGCAGCGGCGTCATTCTTGACATAGAACCATTGTGAATGCCACCCCTTGTTGGAGGTGGACAGACGCATTAGCGGGTACGCTCCTGCCCGGTTGTTGCAGAGGTGGATGTCGGCGCACCCCACTGGCGAGTGCAGCTCCTACTTCCCAACCCGCCTCTTCAGAAGATTGACGGCGAAGAGATACCACCACAGGTCAAAGTGGGGACTGATCCCCAAGAACCCCTCGCACAGGGCAACAAATGCCGCAATGTGCTGGATCCCATTGGGGGTAAGGTGCTGTAGCTCCACCTGATAGTAGTCTAGTAGTCCCCGAAGGAACTGATGGGCAGGCATGGCGAATCCTCTCTCATGGAAGTGAGCAAAAGACACGACGTACCCATCGGGCGGCTGCGGCTCATCCTCTTCACCGGGCAGCCGCCACTCCTTGGCGGCGGTCAACGGGTGAAGGAGGCCTCGGTGGACGAGGCCCTCTAGGCGCTGAGGGGAGATGCTGGATCTATACCCTAGGTCCATTGCGACGGCGGGAGCAGCACGGAGAAGAAGGCAGCAGCGAGTTTGACGGTGGGAGCAAAATGGGCGCGAGAAGCTCAGCCGATTGGCGGCGGAGGCTGAGAATGCGAGGGCAAGGAGGCAAAGTACGGAACCCTAGGGGCGAACCCTGTGGTTTTATAGGGGTGACGGATGCGAGAAGGGCAACGGTCCACCTCGATCTCCGAGCCCGCCACGACACACCACCGCGTCACGTCATGGGACACGCGCATGCGATCCCTATCCCTTCCCACGAAAGTCACGCCGGGCGGTTCGCCTTCCCCAGGCGGACTAGGACTCTCTTCCCACCAAAGGAACATGGGTCACAAAGCTTTTCTCTCTGGCCCGCCTAGGGCCCCGGAGCCCAAGAGCCGTCCCGATGAAGGATGGGCCCGCAAACGACCAGGACTAAAAGACGCGAGCATCACCGGGGCCTCGATCCACAGTTAAGCCCCAGCCAGGCCGGCCATGAATGAAATCCCCGCGAACGGGAAACCACGATTCCCTTAAAAATATCCAGTTGATGAAAAACCAAGTCTTACGACCTTACCCGCGGAGGGTCCGATAATACCCCTCGGGCGATTCTACTCGAATCACCCGAGGGCTCGGGGGCGACACCCACCGGGTGCGCTCGTGCGCACCCTCTAGCGAATTAACTCCGACAAAATTGAAACACCCTCTGGGCGATTCTGCCTGAATCACCCAGGGGCTCGAGGGCTACTATCGGGGACCTAATATTGGGGTACCCAAGGAGGTAGAACTAATAACCATCGAACGTTAAATACTCCCAGACGGACAAGAGCACTACTACGCTTCTTGCCCAAACGATGGGAGTTTGGTTTTGCCTCTCCCGACGCTCGTGGGCCGGCTCCGCCTCGCCCGATGGCGGAGGGCCTGCTCCGCCTCGCCTAACGCCCATGGGCTAGCTCCGCCTCGCCTGATGGCTAAGGGCCAGCTCTGCCTCGCCCGAGGGCTAAGGGATAGTCTCCGCCTCGCCCGAGGGCTGAGGGCGGGGACCACCTCGCCCGAGGGCTAAGGGCGGGCCCTGCCTCACCCGATGTCCGGGGCTAGGCTTTGCCTCACCTGACAGCTAAAAGAAAGACTCCGCCTCGCCCGACGCCCGAGGGCGGGTTCGACCTCACTCGACGACTAAGGACTAGCTCCGCCTTGCCCCGCGACTACACTCTGATCCTTCCTAAAGACAAAACATGGGGTACGACAGGACGTACGAGTCAACCACGATGTCGAGGGCCATGCCCTGCGCGACTGTAGGAAGGCACCGTCAGAACACGATGGGACGGGCACATTAAAGCCCTTTTCCTCATAACAGTGCCCAAATAGTGTTGAGGGCGCCGGCTTTTTGTCCCACAGTGTAGTAGGCGCCGCCTTCAGTCCTCGGGCGCGGATACTAACACCGGCATACGACGACCACTACGGTCCAAGACAGAACTCACATCATTTACAGTAACGGACGTATGGTCGCTTCCCCGATTACTCCCCGAGGGGTCACTGCTCGGCTCTCCGGCACGCCGCACCATCCACCGGCATGGGATGGGATGCACCCACTTGCTAAAAGGGGCCAGGGCATGGCCTACGAAGATCAACAAACACGCCACTTCTGACATGGTCTACCATGTTAAGCAGGATAGGCGCGGGAAAAAAGGACGACCCGGATCCTTCGAAGGACCTTCTATACCCTTGGTATTTTCCTTTTTCTCCCATCTATAACCCCTGCTCCCCCTTGGTCTATAAAAGGGAGGGCAGGGCTCCCCATTGAAGGGACCGACTTTTGACGGACAACTCACACACAGACGAACACGAACTCATAGAGTTCGGTTCCACACACACGCGACACATCACGCACACAGCCAGGCCGCCACCAGGCTGTTGGCATCCTTTCGACCCTACCATCAGAGACCTGGGACCAGTCTCTCTCTCGACTGTTTGTATCCCCTACCATGAACCACTTTCGGTGCTAATAACACGAGTAGCAACAGACTGGGCGTAGGGACATTTAGCCTGAACTAGTATAAACCTTGTGTCCTTTAGCGCACCATCCGGGCCTAACGCGCATAAATATAAATTTACTAGCCGGTGTTTGTTTGAAACACCGACATTCCTGATATGCATGGAATTTTTCCAATAGAAATTGCTGCTCCAAAGGATTCTATGATTGCGTCAAGATCTTGTTCTTGTCTACGTCTCCACAGCCTCGTTACACAAAATGGAGTACCAGTGAGATAATTGAACAAGTTAATGCAGTAAGTTCTAACCCACAAGCATCATTTCCTTATTTGTTCTGTTTTGTACTTATTTTATGTTGTTGTGCTGATTTTCTATAAACATGGAAATTGTTTTTTTTCTGTTGCTTTACCGAGTCTATCTAAAAGATCAAAATTACTTGTCTATTTCTGTTGTTGTACTGGATGCCTAGATTCCTGACCTAGAGGAAATTTTTTTGATGCACCTATTGAAGAACATACTGAGATTCAAGAGGACCAACAAATGAGCAACAACATCGAGATGGTTCTAATCATCATCAACACTAATTCTGAGTAGAATACACTAAACAACAACTAAGATAAAATTGAAGAACCACCAACTAAACCTGAAAAGGTTGAGCTGTCGATGTTCTTGATGGGTATAGGTGCTACCAATGGGAACATAATTGAGATCAATGACCATTCATTTCAGTTCCTTTGTGTTGGTGCCTCAGTCACTGTAGCCAGTTGTGCTTCCTTGTTTGGACATCCTATTACAGAGAGATAGAAACTACCAATGAAGTTGGCTACAAAGTATGCTCTTGGTTGACTTATGGGATGCTCATGTATCTTCTTGTGGCTTCATGTGTGATAGTTCTTGGATTTAAGAGATGTCAACCATCTGTTAATGTTCTATTATCAATAGCTATTGCAGATATTAAGCCTAGGAGAGGGAAAAAAAACAAAACCAATCAAAACATCAGATCTTGATCCATGATTTCAGAGGTCAACTTTCTTTATTCCTCAAGAGTATGAAGCACAGAGGCCAGGCCCTTTGCCAGAGATGAATGATTACACAGACTAAGTTAATCAAACTCACATATGCGGATCTCTCTTCGGTTCCTAGACCAAAAGGAAACTACCTAGATGCTAAGGCAAAAGCTAATGGAAGAGATGGTTGGTTGGGGCAGCCTCCTATCTTATTTATAGGCCTATTACATATTCCCAATAAGCCCTTAGATATTTAGACTGAACCACTTACCCCCAGGGGCATAATGGTCCATATTGATATGTAGGCATCTAACGGCCACAAGCTCTTCACAACTTTGCCTCACCTCGACACAAGCTTCACGATGATGCCACATGCCTCCTCCCATTCCTACCGTAACTCCAACCAGGTTTTGAGGCCCAAACTAGAAAACCATCCACTGGTGGTTTTGAGGCCCAAACCACCAAATCGCTTGGTGAGAAGCGTATCTACTACGCCTCCTCCATGATCTCAACACGTGTCACCATCATCCTTGACCGCCCAGTCACCAACTCCTCAAGTTCCTTCGCTTGGTCAACCACTGTCTTAACTTGGTCAAAATGGTCTACTCCTCATGTGCTCTTGCCTGTTGATGCCCCCAAGTTTTAGCCCCCACGGTCAGTCTTCCAGTTATCTTGGTCCCTCGGTCCAAGCCTCACGTTCATCCTTCACCACTCCCATTCCATGAGCAAGACCCGTCTCTACTTGACCTTCACCATGCCCGTCAACCGTCTCTGTGCTGCACACCAACACAGCCAAGAGACATGTTGCACACACACTCATGCATAGGCTAGTCTCCAAACTCAACCAAAGCCTTGATCATCTTCGACAATCACTCATCAGAGACTCAATACACAAGTGCACATATCAACCTTGTGTTTGCAGCTCTCTTCTTGTCAAGCGACCCCTCTCGGTTTTGATGATCGAATTGAATGAGGGTTTTTGATGGGTATCGTGCGCCCTAGGTCATGGCAGACCTGCTCTGGGTCTCACAGAAGGCTAACATCTATAGCTTTGGCATGCTTCTCCTGGAGCTACTAACAGGGAAGGCGTCGACGGACGCGGTGTTGTACGACAAGGGCGTGGACCACCCACGATGGGCGCGCTCCACGGTGAAGGAGGAGTGGATGTCACCCTGGTGCGGAGGAGATGATGGAGATGGTGCGGCTGGCCATGGACCGTGCATGGAGCCTGCCCTAGACCAATGGCCGGTGATGCCCGAGATCATGGCGCGTATTGAGGGGCTCGGTGGCACGTGGTCAGTGTCGACGGCACAGTCTCTCACCTCGTGAGCCAGAAATGAATATCTTAGTGCGTTTGGTGTCCTCCAGCTAATTTAGCATAAAGTAGAGTGTCCACCAGCAAATCGATTTATTTTCGGTGTCCGCTGGCAAAGCAACCTGACTTTTAGTGTCTACCGGCAAATTTTGCCAAATAAATTTGTGAGACAACAAAAATTATGTGTATAAGTTATGTTATTCGGAAAAATCATGTTGAGAAATTGTTATGATAAATTTGTCCGCCAACGGTTATGAATAAAAGTTGGGTTATAAAGGTCACATAGAAAAGTTGTCATGGCAAGTTGTATAAAATCATGTAAAAAAACTATATCAAAAGAGTTATAATAAGAAATTCAGGTGAGTAGGTTTGTTCCGCAAAATGTTGTACACAAAAGTTGTGAGTATAACTTTGCAATTTTCTAAGAAATTGTGATGATAAATTTTGTTCCGCAAAATGTTATACACAAAAGTTTTAAGTATAATTTTGTAGCTTTTCAAAATAGAAAGTTGTGGAAACAACTTCTTTTCCAAAAATAGGAAAGCCACGACCCACGGGTTGTCTAATCATTGGCTGCTTTTTTGTGCAGTGAACTTTCGCTGATTAGAGTGCCTGCCAACAAGTGCGCTTACTTGTACTGACAATAGTCTGACAACATTGTGGGCATGTTTTTTTTTATGAAACGAATCAGGCAGGAGAGCTGCCGATTATATTGATAAAGAATAAGCCCCAGACTGGGTACAACAAAAACAACAATAGCCATAGCAACTACAAGCGACTAAGACGACTCTACCAACAACAGTAGCGACAAAACCAAACAACTAACTAAGGCAACTCTACCAACAACAACCCACGTGCAACATGAGCAAACAGCAGTGAAGACAAACACCTAGAGAAAGGACAAAGAAACCTCTGCCACCATGTACCAGAAGGCATGTTGTTATTAGTTGACTCTGTAATGGTGACCAGTATATCTCTTCCACGAATCATACTCACCACTTTACATGAAAGTATGAAACAATGTTGATTTCTTAACCATTATAGTTGTCAATCTCGTAAAGGTAACCCATAAAGTTGACGCTGTTAACTTAGACATCTGAACAACATTTTATTTCAAGCAACCGAATTACTACTTACCAGGACAAGCAATTTGGATGCAAAGTCGATTGGCACGAACACGATGGCGGTGATCCTTGACAGTGGTAGCACCTACATCAATTTGCCCAAGACTTTACATGAAACAATGTTGGTTTTGAAATTCACATCACTCTATGCGTTCTTGATTAGTATCTAGGTTGATTTTCATTTTGTTGCTTATCTTCGTTGTCTAGAAAAACCAGTGCAGTCTTTCTGAAAATGATTATTTCTGTGCAATTGTAACACAGGTTCACACTCAACTTGAAACTAGATTTATTTTTGTATCAGTGTCGGGAGATGGAAGAATAGAAGTACATGGCTAGCTGGTCATGATTTGATGGATTACAGAGATGCATATCTTGTATTAGTAGGCTCCTACGTAGAGTAGGTAGCAGCTAGCATAGAAAGAAAGAAAGGGGCAGAGCTGGAGAGGAAAAGGTTGAGATGAATCAGGCTAGAGTAGAAAAAACAGCAATGCCAGTAATCTGTTGGATTAATTGGGACATGTGTAGCATTTTTGTTTCTGTAACTTGGTTTTGTGCTCTCAAAAGGTCAGGATAACAGCAGGACGAGCATCATATCAGTTGCTCCTCCCTTTACCTGCATGCATTTCTTTATTCAGTCCTAGTAATATTCTGTCTTAAACATTTTAAAAGCTTCCAATTCCCACACACACACACACACATTTTGTGTTCGTCAGTGATTTGCATTCCGAATTTTTGCAACCATAATGCGCATGATTTTTCTGTGATGGTTGCTTCTCCTGCAGCTGATTTGTCAGCGTTACACTCCGTTGCCACTTCCTAGTTAGTTAGGGACACAATACCAGTGATGCAATGCCCTGACCAAAAACTGAAAGAATGCATGTCTGCAATCGCCACCGTTTTCACGGATGGAGTGCGGTGAGTGTTGAGAGTGTCTGTTAGGGATCTAGATCGGAGAGAATTGGGAAAAGAAGTGCTGGAGGAACTCGAAGAACACGAGAATAAAGAGGACAGCTATCGGTAGTTCATAGTTCTGTTATGGCAAAAGTTCAGAGTAGTTCAGAGTTCCCTCTTAACAACCGGACACGCCAGCGGCTTGTTTCAGCAGTGCAGCTGCTTCTACGCATAGGAATCAAGCCCATTGAGGACCAGTCACGCGAGAGCTAGGACGCCTGACGCGGACGCTCTGCCGTTCCTGCTTCTGCTGGCGAGCGATCACCTTGTGCCGGATGGCCTACAGTGGTTGGTGGGCCTCCATCAGTTCCAGTTCCAGCTTCAGGTTCAGCAGGGAGGCCAACCGTAGTGTCTGTAACAACAGAGGCGTCGGCGCGTGGAGCAACTGGCGCAGTCACCAGCGCCGCGGAGGAGCACGTCGGGTGGTGGTTTCTTCAGCTACCGAAGCAACTCAGCGGCTCAGGACTCGATCAGGCCGTTGGATTCTTCAGCTACCGAAGCAAGTGTGATCATGCATGTAGGGGTTCTACTGCGAATGCTGATGTATTTTAGATAATTGAGACGCACACAGCTTATGGTGTTAGAATTTGAATGTTTTGTATGTTTTCATAGGTCTTAGAATTTGAATGTTTCTATTCTTAAAATTTGCTGGATTTTGCAAGCCCATACCGTATACTGTATGTATATGGATGCATCCATCTGGAAGTTATCGTCTTGATTGATTCTGTTTCAATTTGAACAATACAACTTGTGTTCAAAATGAATTACTCGCGTCTTAGTTGTCTATTGAAACAGCGAGAGCATTGGCACAAGAACACAATTGGACAAGAACGGATGGAAACATCACAAATTATAAACGCAGTTTTCAATGTGCTGGGCTTTTAAGGCAACGAACGAGGCTTTACATGGGCTAGGTTGCGTGCTCCTACCACGCTTCCGGACAGAACCTAAAGCCTTGCAAATAACTCTCTGAAGCAAAAATTCAGATAAGTAGACAAGCGCAAATTGTACTCCCTCCATACTAGTAATTCAATTTGTTTTGGACAGTAACACGGTCTTCAAAGCATAACTTTGACATCTTATTTTTATAAAAGTATTTATTAAAAAGTAATCTCCTATTATTATTATAACTAAAAAGAATAAAACTAAGAGAATGGAAGGGTGCGACAAAATAATTCCGGTAGTCGCTCTGCCAAGCCTGCGATCCCGCGTCTGCGCCCCCGCACGGACGCACCGCACCACGCTCTCGGGCAGCCAGGGGTCGATTCCATGCCCCGCGCCCTATTTTCTTTTCTTCGGAAAAAAATACGTCGCTCTACCTGTCGACGCATCTCCACCCGTGGGGGAGGACACGGGCGCTGCCGCCCGACCTGCGCGGCCTCACGCTAGAGGAGCTCTCGACGGCAGTGTGGCCATGGAGGAAGAGGAGCCCGTAGACTCACCGGCCTCCGCCATCGTGGACTGAGCGTTCCACCTGCGGCCTGCCCTGCCTCCCTCCTTCGGATTTGCATCGGAGGGGAAGTTGCAATCCCACTCCCACCTCGATGCACGGGACTCGACGCAGGGGTTAGGGCCGCCGCCTGGAGACACGGTGGCCAAGGGGGCGGGTGCCGCCATGGCCTCAACGCGTGACGGACGATGGCTGGCACCGCCGCTGCCTGGAGTCCGAGATTTGGAACGGCCCACATTGATCCAGCAGTTGCAACTCTCGACTCTAGGTACGATTCGATTTGACCGTCTCTTCCCCATTCTCATTGGTTTTTGGTTTTGATCCGTGTTGATTGCGGTTTTGATGGTGATTTGTTTGTGTCGTTCCGAGAACCATTTGTTGCTGAGCTTCATGGACACGTCGGCTAGAAGTGGCAGCGACAGTGATCGGAATGGCAAAAAAGAGGACAAGAGCATTCAGTGCTGGCCAAGAAAGGCATGTTCAGGTACGTGGACCGCCTCCTCCACGAATCCACCCGAGCCTTGCATTACTTTAGCAAACCTGACAACACCACATGCCTAGGTCAGTGCTTGCATCGTCCGATCCATCTAGCAGCCAACCGGTATGGGAGTTAACTTGCCCTTCCAAATCAAGAAGGCATTTTCATATGTCACATCTTTTTGGATGAATTGCTTGATATGCTTTGCCCTGCTATAGGTTGTCAGGCTTTCCTTGCAATAGATAAAAGAGCTATTCTCTGCACATAATTAGTGGATGAATCCTACCTATATATATTAAATGGGAACTTTGCAGATGCATGGATGAATTCTCTCTATTTTCAGTAGTGGTCATGTGTTTTTGAAAAGGCGCCATTAGAAAAGCAAGATGCATATGAACAATTTACAGTGGTGGTCACTGAGAAGTAGGATATCACAATGCTTTCCTGCTTTCCTCTCATGCTCATGACAATATGTCATGCCTTAGTAGAGCTTCTAAAGTGTGTCAAACTGTATGCTCTTATCTACTTGTTAAAGTTATGTAGATAAAAAAATTCTTAGAAAATGGTGTCCTCAAATTACAGTTGTTGTTTTAGCAATGTCGGTTTCTCTTACTATATGGTCAAAAAATGATGAAAAAAAGTTGTGTTAATTGTGATGTGTATTTTTTGGTGTGCCCACAATACAGTGTGAATCAATTTTCTACTCTACAGGAGGTAAAACATTGCATGATATGGGATCCTCGTCTTCCTAATGCTTTGTAAAGGTAGACTTCCTAATGCTTTGTTATCTTTTTTAAATAACAGATTGTTGAAAAGCCTGTAAGCTATTACCACAGAGAGTGTTTTCATGTGCTATGTGACTCCAAGTATTATTAATGTGTAGCTGTCTCTTTTTTTTAGATAAGCAGTGAACAATAGACAATTGAGACCGTGTTTCATTTATAATCAGTTTTTGGATGCCATATGGGTGGTTGGGGTGGTATCCAAAATATTTTTTAACTGCTCCATGGA